GAAGGTGTCTTTATGATGGACAGCCAAGCACTCCTGGCATGCCCTTTCTCTCTGCTCTGCCTTTTGCTGCTCAATCTGTCCATTTCCTTCTAATAGCCATCTCTACGCTCCTTCTTCCTGGTTCCATATCTTGAAATAGATATACAAGTCAGTGATCTCCACCAATATGCTAAACTAGGGATGGACAAAACCTCTGTATCTCCGATAAAACTAAGCCTGATGTCAAACACTAACTAAGGTGACGTAAAGGACAAGAGTTCAGAGGGGGATTATATCAGAGGAAGAAAGGGTCTAAAAGTAGTGGTGGGGGCAGCAAGGGATGCTGTTGGAGATGCAAGCAAGGCAAGTAATATTTTCTCACACGTGGGATCTAAATTTATATATATATATAATATACACACATAGCTAAATACAAATACACAGTGTGACATGGATGTATAAGGCGAATGAATGAGGGGAAGGAAGTCAGAGGGAGGTGCAAAGGAAGAGAGAAGTGGGTGTGTGAAAGTGAGCAAAGTATAAGGATTGCGTGCATGAAAACACAAGCAACCCCTGCGTTTCCTACGCTAACTGAAATATAAATGAAAACGTGCTGTCACAATGAATGCATGCTCCCTCTCTGAGAACACTCAGAGTCAATACTTTCACCACACACTGGTTTTAGTCGTCACACAAATGACGTCACAGCGTGGAGAATGAGAGCTGAGCTGGTTTTTCATTGAGTGTGCCTGAAGCATAGAAGTGAGGACTGAGTGCCAAGGACCAGGCTGGACTCCAGAGAAACCTGGGTCAGTAGAACCTAGTGTCACCGGCCATGACAAGGTGTTGGCTTTTCATTTAAAATATTTTTAAAGTCTTTGGGCTGTCTCCCCGCTCTGTTTCAGCTTTTAAGAATTCACCATATTTAGGGTTTCCTGTGTAGAAAATGCCACGCAGGGAACTGAGAGTAGATAATTGGACACATGTAGACCTCTTCTGCACCAGCACAGGCAAGATCTGCACTGGGATGCTGAAGGCTCGAGCGAAGCTGCCAGTTTCTGGGGGATATCCAGGAGATACAGCGCCGGCCCGAGTGGGGAGGGCGTAGGGCATAGGACAGTCGTGTTGTGTCTGTCCCTAGACTCCGCTCATTGGTGAAGCTGAAAGGAAATGCTCACTCAAGTCTGGGAAAGCTGCCTTTAGGGATTGCTTGTTCGTGGACACAAAACTAAGTGAGGACTTGATGAATTCTGGGATGGGACGAGTCCAGTCTGGCCACGCCTGGCTCCAGCGACTCCTTCTTTGTGGAGACAGAACTACGGACTTTTGAAATTTGGGAAGGGGAGCAGACAGTCGCAAGAAGGGGGTCACCAACACCTGTGAGCAAAGTCGCAAAACCATCCAGAGGTAATGACAGTAGAAACTCCTTCCAGTATCTCTGATTCCGGCGTCCTCGAAGTGACAGAACATCTCCAGCTGGTATCTAGGGCTAGGTGTTTTCAAATCAGTCCGGATCCCTCACACCTTCAGCTCCCAGATAACGACCTGCAGACTGCTTGCTGAGCTTGAGCCTTCCGCGCACCGACTTGGCGCGAAGTCATTGAAAAGCTGCAGAAGAGCTCTTTTTCCACAGACTTTTGTCTCCGCAGCGCCCTCTGCAGCTCGAGGCAGGTAGTGCAGTTGTGCTCGGTGGAGCCGAACTCCAATTCTGCAGAGTTCTGTGCTCCCCCCTGCGCTGTCACACCTGTCTCTGTGGTCTTTGTGCACATTTTTGTACATTTCTCATAGTATTTAGTTTCACACACGTATATTCTCTTTCTGGACAAAAGTAAACGCAATAATTTACAACATGTCCCCAAATGACGTGCACGTATATATTTATATCCATTCTCGCTATAAAAAGCCTCAGAGAAGTTCACTGATTATAGTCAATACAACTAAAAGTGATACCGCTTATTTAACCGTCCAATAGTGACAGACATATTACTGTCTGGGACGTGTTTGTGTTGGATTTGGATGGGGTTTTCATCTTCCCTTACAGAAAATCTCTTTCCTCGAACATCATGAGAAGTGAAGATGTTAACGTTTCTAACAATCCCATCGAATTGTCAATAATGGTAGCAACCCACTCTTCTGTTGAGAGCCAGTTTTACTGTTCACAGACCTGGCGTCATGATAGCCGTGCACAGCAAGGCCTCACATTCCAGCACACACCAGAGAGAACAGAGAGCGGAACTCAAGGGCAAGATTTCCACAGCCTTGAGCAGAGGTTCTGTCTCTCCTAGGAAGCCTCTGAATTCACCTACTCGAGGGCCCAAAGGACAGGACATCTGATGTCAGAGCAGTGGGCCAGGTCCAGAGCAGATTGAAGAAACACTCAGGTGGTTTCTAACTAATAAAAATGTTTACCTTAATTTGTAATTTCTGAAGGTTCCTCACATCCACTTATGGTAAGATTCACTGCACAAGCTGAAGGAAAGTTCAGAGTTATTTTTAAAAACGAGTGAATGGATGGGCAGATGGCTGTTAGGTAAGCTTTGGGGTAATAGTCATATTTTAGTCCATTTTAAATCCACGTGTGCTTATGATAATGAAAATCCTCCCATAATAAAAAACAGATCAACATCAGTATATTGCTAATTGGAAAGGTAAAAGGCATGAGTGAACCGAAGAAAGTTTGTTTACAACTGAAAGATTGTAAGCACATTCCATAGAGACACTAGCTTATGAAATAGTCCTTTGGAAATTATAGAAGACAGTCCTGCGTGAGTGGGAGCTCCGCTGTGGCCAAAGCACCCACGGGGCTCTGCACTGGCATTGTCTTGTGACTCGTGGCTCTGAAGGCCCACGTGGAAAACAGGAAGGATCTGTCCTGAGGGTTCTTGTGAGGAAATGATCTCTGGCTGTTCCCTAGGGAGGAACCATGGCCAGCGCCTGTGTGTCTGGTCCCCTTCTCTGTCTCTGCTGGAGATGCAACTTTTGACCACTGTGGAGCCTGCTGGTGGTGTGGCCAAGACAGTCACCCCAGCTTGCACGTGGTGAAGGTGCAGGAAGGGAGCCAGGGAGGGCAGAAATTTGACTCTACTGCCTTCCTTCTCACTCCAGAGTGAACAAGTAGGTTCCCTAATTTTATTTCTTTTTTTTTTTTTTTTAAATCTTCCCCTGCTGCCCAGATGTAGATGGACATGCCTGTGACTCCAGTATTCTGGAAATTGAGGCAGGAGGATGACTTGTGCTCAGAAATTCAGGCCTACTCTCAACAGTGCAGGATGAAATCTCAAATACAAAGCAAACAAATAAAATAGTTAAAATAGCTTGGAAAAATAATGCAAGTGGTAAGTCAGAGGGAGAAAGAAGTTGCAGCAAGTAGCAAGTGAAGCCTGGACAAAGGGAACTTGTTGTGGGCTCAGGGGCTCTCGCTGTTGTGCTGGGAACTTTGTCCGCAGGCTGGTAGTGTGTGCCGGGGCTGGAACCCAGGACTTCACCAACGCTGGGCAAGCATTTTGTCTGTGCTACCTTTTGGCAGCTTTGTTTTAAAAACTGTTTTCACAGAACGTCAAAGCGTGTTCATACCAATGTGTATACATTAGTACGCATCCAGGAACTCAGACTCATGAAATCAGAACTTTGGGCACAGGCACCTCAGTATGTACGTGTGAAAGAAAACCAAGCTCACCCAGTGTTCACAATCGGCCCCCGATGGGTATCAGAGAGCGCCCTCTCTCTGGGGAGCCAGGCTGCCCAGGGCCACAACACTTTGGGCAGTGCAGGCAGACAGGGAAGCATTTCTCCCACTCTGCACGCTCAGGACTATTGTCAAAGTCTCTTGACCACAGACTTCCACTCCTCCCCACTGGAGCCTGACATGCAGGAGTCCTGAGGTGAGCCAGGTAAAAAGCTCTTCAACTGTGGTCCTCCACGGAGCGGCCTAGTCCCACGCCTCCATCCTGCATGTGGGAGAGGTGGAGAAAATGCAGGACCCGTTGAGCAGAAACTTTTTATGGCCCCACCTTCTGTTCTCCCTGTCCTGGAGTCCAGGGACTCGGGCATTAAAGGTGTAGATCCCCCCCCTTTTTTTATCAACTTTTTTTTATTTAATTAACACTCTTTTCATTTATTTTACACACTGAGTGCGGTTTGAATGGCAGACTTCTGTGAGAGTTATGCGCGCGTTCTGTGCCTCTCAGGTCCTTACCTGGTCCTCGGGCAACCCAGGTGAGGCGGCTTAAGGTCACCATGATCTGCTTGAGGCTGACACCCCTCCACCGAGTCCCAGATACCCTATCCTGCCTCCACACAGCTGTCAAGCTTTTGGATCAGAAATCTCTGCAGGACCCACTCAGAGCTGACCCACCACAATGTCCTTTCTTGTGCCCCCCCAAATCCCCTCCTCCCTGAGCCTCGTGTTCCCTAGTGAACCAGGCATAAAGTACATAGACCATGGCTCTGTCACCCTTGCGATTCCACAAACGCACCCAGAGCTCAAGGTAGGGCAGGTACAAGGCCTTTCCCCCTTCGCTATTTATTTTGCCTGTGTGCGTATATGTGGGGGGTGGGGTTGCATTGCCACAGCACGTGAGTGGAAGTCAGCGGACTCTTGGGAGTCAATTCTTGCCTTCCACCAAGTGCGTTTCAAGGAGGGAATTCGGAGCCATCACGTTTCTATGTACCAGCCCCGTCCTTTCCTTGTGGGCAAAGGTAAGACCCCTTTCACCATGGCCGCTCAAGGGGCTCTTCACTCTCCACCTGGTCCCCGCAGCCCCGCCCTGGCCCCTCTTTGCGCAGCTCAAGGTGGTGCAACAGGTGTAAAGCCTTTTGACCCTAACCCGAGCATGCCGCCCCTCCCTCTTCCTCAAGCTCTCAGGCCCTCTACAAGCTCCGCCCATCCGAGGCTCCGCCCCCACCACAACCCGCCTCACACACCCAGGTGTGAAGTGTGCCGGGGTAAGGTCTTGGCCCATGGGCCTTTGCGCGCCTGCCCCACCCTCACCTCGTGCTCCCCGCGTGCCCCGCCCTCCGAGGCTGGGCGCACCTGAGGCGCAGCTGCTGTAAGGCCCTCAGCAGCCCGTGGCCTCGACGTGCCACCATGGACGCGTCGCCTGCGCCCCCAGAGCCCTTGCTGGTTGTCCCGCAGCCTGAGGTGCTGGAAGAGCTGCAGCAGGCACAGCTAGGGCCCCTACCCCGGCTCGCCGCCATCTGTAGGCTCAAGCGGCTGCCCTCAGGCGGCTACTCCACCACAGACGACCTGCATCTGGTGCTTGAGCGCAGGCGCGTGGCCAATGCCAAAGAGCGTGAGCGGGTGAGGGGCCGGGGCTACCTTCCTCCTGCCACCGTGCTAGCGGGTGTTCCACACCCAGCACCCGCGCAGTCCCTTGCAGCCCTCCTGGGTGACTTCGCCTCAGCGAGGCTTGGCCCGGGTCCCCAGGGACCTGCATGCAGGTGTGCTGTTAAGGGTCGCGGGAGCGGCAACCTCACCTGCTAGCCCTCATGGATGGCGAGGGAGCAGAGGGAGCCCCTTGCCAATTTCAGAGCCGGCACCAGGACAGCTGCTTTACAAACGGTGCCCCGGAGCCTTGGTCCCACATCTGGATGTGCAGCTTGGGTGCTAATGGGGTCCTCTGAGTCCTTTGACCTGCCTCAAATAAAGGGTGGGTGGGGGCCTCTCGAGGAAGTTACTTATTCCTTTTTCAAAAAAAAATGTAAAATTCATCTGTTTATATCTTGTGTGAGCGTTTTGCCTGCATACATGTATGTGCATCGTGTGTGTACCTGGTGCCCAAGGACGTCAGAAAGAAGGGGGCTGGGTTTCCTGGAACTAGAGCTACAGACAGTTGTGAGTTGTCATGTGGTTGTGGGGAATTGAACCCAGGTCGTCTGCAAGAGCAAGTGCTCTTTAACTACTAAGTCATCTCTCCAGTCCAAGTTACTGTGTTTTTTTTTTTTTTAAATTCTTATTCAATTATGTGTACGTGCACCTAGCTATAGGGACCTGGAGAGGGTCCTGGAGCTGGAGTAATAAACAGGTGTGAACCGACTGATGTTGGCACTGGAAACTGAACTCTCGGGACTTCTGCGAGAGCAACACATGCTCTTAATCTCTGAACTGTCTTTCCGACCCTCGTGCAGGCAGGCTACTTTAAGGTGTTTTTGTTTGTGTTTGTTGTTATGGGGTAGTGCATTTGTGAAGTGTGGAGGTCAGAGTACACTTTCATGGAGTGGGTTCTCTCCTTCGATCTTCATATGGGATTTGGGAATCAAATTCAGGCTGCCAGGTTTTGTGGCAAGAGCTTTTACCCACAGAACCATCTCCCTGGCACCACCCCGCATTGTAAGTAAAGAAAAATGGAGTATCTTAACCGCCTCGAAGCTGTGTTGTAGTGGCCTGTGTTTAGAGCGGCATCTGCTGGTAGATTCTAGTATCTCAGGCAAAGCTTGGCCCCACGGAAGTCAAGGCTTGGGCTCCTTTTTGCTTTGGGTTTGACAGGAGCAAAGGTGACCCTGGAGCAGGAAAGAGTGCTCACCTTTAGGCCTACTACTTATTCCTAAACTTCTCAGCCAAGCGCTTCAGAAATGAACTTCCGGAAACGCAGTAAGGGAAGGACCATGGGAGGCGGAAGACATCCCAGAAGTTGGGGAAGGATGCTTTTGCCAGGAGAGTACCTGTTGTGATTTCAAGGTCACCGTACTTTTTAATTTTCATTTAGAGCACAGTGGGAGGTCACTCACATCCCTCTTCTGTGGCTTGGGGAAATGTCTGTGCGAGGTAATGTATCAGTGTATCACTGTGGCTTTTTGCTTTCTAGATAAAAAATCTCAACCGTGGCTTTGCCAAACTGAAGGCGATGGTGCCGTTTCTGCCACAGAGCCGGAAGCCCAGCAAAGTGGACATCCTGAAAGGTGCGACGGAATACATACAGGTGCTCGGCTGTGTTCTGGGAGAAGCAAAGGCCTCGGAGGTATGAATGTTTAAAAATTTGAAATAAACCTGGGTGTGGAGGGTCTTATGTCTGGGAGACTGAGGCAGGAGGACTGCCATGAGTTCAAAGCCTTTCTATACTACAGAAGAAGACCTTGTCTCAAATAAAGTTAGTAATTTTAGAACAGTAGTGGCCACCATTTTTTGAGCCATTTCTACAGGCCAGGTACCATACTAGGAAACTTGCAGAAAACAGTTGACATTTGTTTTATTGAAACGCACTTGGAGGGAATCAAAACATAGATCATGGCCATTTAGGTAAGTGTCAGGGCTGACTTTGAACCCTGGCATGGTCATCTACCTATAGCCTGCCTGGCACTGTCCAGGACACCTGCCTGGCACTGTCTAGGACACCTGTCTGCTGACTGCTGGATCTTAGTGCTCTGATAGCTGGAGCACCAGGATAGCCTCCATCAAAGCTCTCTATGGTAGCTGTTTCCTGCCAGATTAGCCGCTAGACAGGGCAGAAAGGGCTATGTGACTATCTGCTGACCATGCTTTAGAAACCACAAGGCACTGGAGTGTCACTAATATCAGAATGTTCAGTCAGCTCAGAAGGTTCCTGTAGGCAGGAGGTGGTTCTGCCTCGCTTGTGGTTTGTGTCCTGGAAAGTGGACCTGTCACCAGAGAGGCAAGATAATTCTGAGACAAAGGGCTTTACACTGAGAGGAAAAGGACCCAGGAGCACAAAACAGGGGTCACAAAGCTGAGGAGAGGCTCTTAGAAAATGAGGGTGGAGGGTGTTGAAGATACTACAGAGATGGGGGGAAGGCTAAGGTGGGGAGAAGCCGGGAAGGGGGAAAGGAAGTGAGTTGGAAGTCAGCTTGTGGTGGGACCGGGGGGCAGTGTAAGTAAGTATTTGGGTTCAAGCAAACTTCAAATCCATCTGTCCTATAGTTTGAGGACAGAAAGAAGGGATTGTCGGAATAAAGAAAGCAAACAGATCAAGTGGAAGCCTTTTCTGAGTGCAGAAGAGGAGAGGCACATAGATGGGAGGAACATTCTAGAAACTTAAATATAGTAGAATTAGAAGGTTTTGTGGGGTTTTGTTTGGGGTTCACATGTCCTACTCACGTGTCTGCTGGGAAGGAAGACCCTTTGGTACCACAGAAGTGGTCATTCCGTTGGCCAGCATACTAGCTGAAGCACACTGACAGTGTTTGTGCAATGTGCTGTTGGCTTTTTTTCCAATGACACAAGCTGGAGTCCTCTGAGAAGAGGGACTCTCACTTAAGATCTTCCATAACATCAGACAATAGGCAAGTCTGTGAAGGCAATTTCTTGATTGATCATTGATGTGGTATGGTTGATTGATCAGCCCACTGTGGGCAATGACCACAAAAACCCAGGCAAGGGTTTCCAGAGTATGTAAGAAAGCAGGCTGAGCAAGTTAAGCAATGATCCTCCATGGCTCCTGCTTTGGTTCTTGCCCTGACTTCCCTCACTGAGTGTGACCTGAGATTTAGAGACTCTCTTCCTCACCAAGTTGCCTTTGATTACCATGTTTTATCGCATAGCATCAGAAACCCTAAGACAGGAACACACTGGTTGCTATCTGAATTTTTACTGGTGTGGGTTTTTTTGTTTTGTTTTGTTTTTTTGTTTTGCTTTGTCTTTGAGACAGGCTAGCCTCAGCCTCTGGCATGCTGGGATAGCAGGCATAGGCCACCATGACTATTTCTCCCTTGTGTGTTAACTGCATAACTGAAGTGCTGCATTCCTTACAAACTATGGGCTCTGTTCATACATGGTGCTAAATACACTTTACCATTCATGCATGGTGCCAAATGCACTTTACTATTGCACAGCACAGGGGGCTAGAGAGCACTGCAGCCCTTTGGGCCTCTTCCCTGCATATCCACGAAATGAAACCTTCAGATTTAGGAGTTTGGAATGTGTTTGTTTAAATCTTAAAGTGAATGACTGACATGCTATACTGTTTGACAATCACTATGGTCTCTAGAAACAAGGCCCCGAGGAGCAGACCCACAGTAGCAGACCCTCTGACCCTCATGTGTCCTCGACTAGAGAGCTCTTGGGAAAAGCTACCCAGCCTACCAGCTGTGCAAGTAACTTCAAGAAAGAAGAAGAGGGGCCTTGGGCATATGGTGGCCATAGTGGGCCATTGTACACCTATCATCAGAGCACGGTCCCCGGGACAAGTAGATACTTCATACATCAAGAGTCTGATGAAAAATTCCTGCTAAAATAGTCATGTGTAAGTTGAAAAACTCCAAAAGATTTACCGAGATGGTTATTTTCCATGTAAAACATGATTAAAATGAGATGATCTGGGAAGGAATTTGTTGGTCTGGAGATGATTGTGTTCCCATTTAATCAGTAGACACATGGGGAGAGGGGCTTCCTCCAGAGTCACACAGCCCACATGGAAGGTTTTGTTCCTTCTTTTGTTAAAGGTATGTGTTTGTGGGGGGGGGGTGAGGGCCTGGGTGTGTACAATACCCACAGAGACCAGAAGAGGGTGACAGATATCCTCAAGCTAGAGTTGTGGTGGTGGTGGTGGTGGTGGTGGTGGTGGTGGTGGTGGTGGTGGTGAGCTGCCTAAAGTGAGTGCTGAAATCTGAACTTGGGTCCTCTGGAAGAACAGCAAACTGTTCTAACTGCTGAGACACTTCTCTGGGCCCTGTAGCTTATTTCTTTCATGCCCTTGTTTAATACAACGAAAGTCTTTATGGATTCTTCTGGTCTCCAGAAAAAGAAATATATAGTTTGCCATGCCCCTTAGGTGATATTGGTTGGTTGTTTTGTTTTTGTTTTGTTTGGGGGGGGGGCTATAAGGTCACATTTTCTAAGTAATAAGTGTGACTTCTCTGAGTTCAAGGGGACAGCTTTTGTTTGTGTTATAGACCATCTAACCCATGTGATGTAGCAGATATTACTGAAATAAGAAAGGTTTGACATTGAGCCAAGCCTACGGTCACCAGCATGCTGCTTGCTCACTGACATGCAGGGGTGCAGAAGTGGCGGGGTGTCATGGGAATCAGTCAAATGGCAGTTGAAAGTAAGCCTAGAGGCAGACTGCTAAGATTCAAACACTTGTTTTGCCATTTGCTAGCTGCATGACCTTGCACAAGATACTGAACCTTGGGTTCCTAGTTACTCTACATGTAGAATGGGAATAATTGTGCCTATCTTGTATATAGACTAACAGGAAGATTCAGGTGATGTAGTGTGTCTGGCACAGTACTTGGCAGGTTAGTGTTCACTTAGATGGTCTTTTTTGCTCCATCAAGCCACAGGAAGTTCAGCTCTGTAGGAAGAGCCAGCGCTCTGTTCTAAAGGTGTCCAAGGTCTTCCATCTACCCAACTGATTGACTTTCTAAAGACTTCCTGACTCCATGCTTAGCCTAGATGGTCCCAGTATGGCCACTTGAAATAAAAACTGTCTCATGGAGCTAGAGAAGTTGTTCAGTGGTTATAGCACTGGCTGCTCTTCCAGAGGTCCTGGGTTCAATTCCCACCACCCATGTGGTGATTCACAAGCACATATAACTCCATTTCTGGGGATCTGATGCCTTCTTATGGTCTCCACAGGCGCTACATGCACACAATACACATACATAACATGCAGGCAAGCACTCATACACAGACAATAAAAAAAACCTTCTTGCAAGTCCATGACAGGTGACAGTTCCTGTTTTCCTGTATGAGTGGATGGGCAAGGCTGAGCCTGACAGAGGGACTCCCACCCCCTGCTAGATTTTCCCTACCCACCTAAGCTAACAAGCACCATGCTCCCCAGGTGCAATGAACTCATGTTCATTCCTCATTGGCCCTTGTTAGGTGGGGGTCATTCTGACATTCTCACACCATTTTCCTGTCCATTGAGCCTGGGTCAGACAGGAGTCTGGGTAGTGGTGGAGCAGCTTGGGCTCAGCAGCACCTCAGCAAATGTATATGGATGAGGTCCTTATTTTCCAAGGACAACAGGTACTGAATTTGTTTCAGAAAAAGGAAAAATATTTATTTTTTCTGGGTTTTTCATTAGTTTTGTTGGTTGGTTTTTGTTTTGTTTGAGGTAAGGTCTTGTAGTGTAGCCCAGGCTGGCCTCAGACTCGTGATCCTCCTGTTGCAGCCTCTTGAGTTCTGTGATTCCAGATGCATGTCGTCATGCCTAGCACTGTTTGGTCTTTTTAGCAAGCCAAGAGCATGGCACTTCTGCGAATAAAGAACATAGTGCATATTTGAGATTTTCACTCACTGAGCATGTGGCTGCTGTCAGGGATGACTTCTGAGTTAGGCTGTAGGTAGCACTATTTCTGTGCAGGTACATTCTAGGATTCCATTAATTTAATTAAGAATTTTGTATGCACTGAAGCTTAAAAAGAGTTCCTTGCTTGATTGCTTGCTTTCTTGTTTTTAGACAAGATCTCAGGTAGCCCACATTGTCCTTGAACTTCTGATAGCCTTCCTTCATTATCTCAGTACTGGCATTACAGAATATGCCACCACATCCAGCTTATGTGACACCAGAGCTCAAACTCAAAACTTTTTTTAATTAATTAATTTATTTATTAAAAATTTCCACCTCCTCCCCACCTCCCCCTCCCTCTCTAGTCCTAAGAGCAGTCAGGGTTCCCTGCCCCATGGAAAGTCCAAGGTCCTTCCCCCTCCAGCCAGGTCTATAAAGGTAAGCATCCAAGCAAACCAGGCTCCCACAAAGTTAGTCCATGCAGTAGAATCAAAACCCAGTGCAAGGTAGGCAAACACTGTTCTGTGAGCTCTCATCAGTCTGCCTGTCTTCACCCACTAATGCTGGGTACGGGGACTCTAAATCAAGCTCACCTGTTTACAAGGTGAGCACTCTTTCTCACTGGGTCACCTCCCCAGCCCCTTTGAGCTAGCTCTTATTTGACCACAGGATTCTTAGGTTTCAGCCCAGGTTACCTAGAGGGGTAACTGTATAGGGTTCCAGAATACTCCCTGGGTACCTGACTGAACACACTTGCTGGCAGTTATCACGGCTCTCTAGACTGAAGTATCCTTCCAGAGGCTCAGGAGGTAGGTGGTGGCCTTGCCAGCTTTGCTTTGCACAGGTAGCACTCCTCCTTTTGCCTTCAGAGAGGATCTGGTGAATTGGAATTCCTGGGACTGGCAGAGATGGCATTTGGAAGGATTTAGAGAGGGAGTCAGAATGGGCTGGGCAAGCCTAGCAACATTCCTGGCAGACAGGATCAGAATGAAACCCATGACCATCTGCTGAGGCAGGCATGGGGGTCACATTGTTAGCTTCTGGGATGGAGTAGGTTCCCTGGTGACTAGAGCTATGTGTTTATTGATGGAGATTGGGCATGATCCTTGAGAAGCCATGTACCTAGTCTGAGAAGGAATGAGATCATTTCAAGGTTTGGGAGAGATTTATTTAAACAGTTTCTGGTATAGTTCTTTTTCTTGTGTTAAGGTTGGCATTGCATTGATGGTGGTGTGGCAGCTGTCCTGCCATTGTTTGTTATTGGTGACTAGTTGAGAATCTTACAGCATACAGGGCTCCAAGTCACATTCAGACTTGGCCTACAAAACTATGGAGATTATATCTCAGGAAAATGCCTGCCTTCAATTTTGGTGTGTAGCAACAAATTTCTTTAGCAGTATATGGTTGTATCTGAGCATAAACTGAGACAAGCTCACGAACCCCCACAGGGGAGGAAGAGGAGCAAGCCCTGAGAGATTGGTGCCAAGCGGGTGACTGCTATGGGGCAGACGGCTGACAGAGTGTAGAAGGTGCCTCTTGGGGTCTTTCCAATACTCAGAAGGGGCTAATCTCAAGGAGCTGACCCCTCCAGCATGTCCTGAAGAAGGCTTCTAGACACCAAGTTGGGGGGCAGTAGATGTGGACTCTGCAGTGGTTACCCGTTCTCATGTGGGTGACAAAGTATCACACTTAGAGCAACACATTAAATTCCTCACAGTTTCTGAGGGTTGGGAATTGAGTGTGAATGTGGTCTCACTTGGTCCTCTGCCTCCAGGTCTCTCATGAAGGCTCCACTGTGGAAGGGCCTGCCTTTACACACATGGTTGTTGGCAGAATTCATTTCCTATAGGGCTTTGGGACCAAGGGTCTGCCTCTAGCAGCTGGTGTTACCCTCAGCTTTCTTCCATGCAGGCTTTCCCAGTATGTTTATCTAACAAAAGCGCATGCTAGGAAGGCAACCAAGAAGAGTACCACAGGAGAAGACTCTTATGTCTGGAACCACAGATGTTGTCTGAGCTGGTTGGTATTTTGTCAACTTGACACAAGCTAGGGTCATTTGGGATGAAGAGCCCTCAGTTGAGAAAATGTCCTCACCAGATTGGCATGTGGGCCATTTTCCTGATTAATGAGTGATGTGGGAGGGCTCAGCTCACTGGTGATGGTGCCACCTCTGAGCAGGTGGTCCTGAGTGGTGTAAGAAAGGTTGAGTAAGCCATGAAGAGCAAGCCGGTAAGCAGTACGCATCCATGACCTTGCACTGGATTCTGCCTTCAGAGTTGCATCCTGCCTTCAGGTTTCTACCTTGAGCTCCTGCCTTGACTTCCCTGGCTGATGGACTGTAAGCTTGGTAAAGGTGTTTGGTCCTGCCACAACTCAGGGAGGAATCCTAGAGGATAGGGATCATTGAGGCCATCTTAGAAGCTACATATCAAAGTGCCATGTACATGCTGCACTGCCATCTCCTCTCCCTAAGGCTACTGTTGACAGACATTAGAAAGACTTGGAGCTGAGAAATTATCTTAATGAAAATATGTCAAAAATCAAACTTTAAAGTGCATCTGGCCCCCAGGTCTGACCTAGTGTCCCAGAGCTCTTTTGTCCCTGGTCAAAAAGGGCCAGGCACGTTGGGGTCTCAGGTTGCTTCTGTGACAGCTGGCACCAACAACATTTCTATGTAATGGGTTTCAACATGACTTTGTATTTGAAAATGCCCACAATATCAGTAGAGATTTCAGGCTGCTGATGCAAAATTGAAGCAATTCCTGCTTCCTGTCATACATTTGAACAAGTCCTGAAGCCTTAGGAGAGGAACGACATTTTATTTCCTGCTTTGAAAATGCTGTGATGGCTTGGGAAGGAGGATCTCTTTCCGTGAGTGGGGAGAGCAGTCACCATGTTGTTCCAGTTCTGCCTTTTGGAGAGGTGCAGGGTCTCACTGTGTGGCCTTGAACTTCATATGGTGCTCAGGCTGGTTTCAAATTTGTGGCTTCAAACTTTTAGTAATCCTCCTGCCTCTGCCTCTTAACTGCCTGGGTTATAGACATAATCTATGACGGCCAGCTTCTAGTTCAGTTTCAGAAAGCCT